ATGATGGCGGGGGCGCGAGAGATGAAGGTGGAGGAAGTGATGAAGATGAGTTAAGATAGAAATGGAAGCTGGGAGAGGGGAAGAGAAAGAAGGGCGGGTAGAAGAGCGAAGCGAGAGCAAAGATAAGGCGTTTCAAAACGAAGAAGGGGGCATCCGATAGAAGCTCAAGAAACGGGGTGGCCTTGTAACATTCTTGGTTGCAGGGAGAGTCGGGCAAATAGGCGTCGAAACGGTTACCAATGTGTTTGTGCGCGGGATGCGCGCTGGGACAAGAATGGCACATCCGACTTAAGACGGTTCCGCAGAAGAGGCTCAGGTGTATGAAGGAGTTCACGGGTAGAAGGAAAACGAAGGTGGCTGATGGTGACTATGCGTCTCAGGTTGCTAGCGCTTGCCAACAATCACCACTCACTTCCTCGTTAGCCGACAGGAACAAACTCTATGCAATTGACCAGGTGGGCGCATGTCTGCTTGCTGCTGCATTCCCTCCGTGTTACTGGTCATTTACACTCACTTCAACTTGTCATTTACTGAACGTTGAAATCGTCGATGAAGAAAGCTCATGGAGATCATTTTGGTGGGTCCCTTCTTTTGCTAGGAGCGGATGTTTTCTTCAAACAATCGCCAAGCGCACGCCCAGGTGCTTGGATGCGGAACTCGGCCATGGGATGGAAGACTGCACGAATGCCGTTGAGAAAGCCTCATATTGCGGACAAGGCGGTGATGGTTTCACCACTGGCGCTCCACTCAAAAGCACCTTGGGAAGTTGAACAGAAATCTCGAAGCAATGATTGGTTCATAAAGGAGATCTGCGAGGCGTTGCAGAGGAGACGGGTGGTGACAATGGTCCGGACGGGGGTGGCCCCGGCGGTGGTAGGGGCAAGCTAGAGAGGCCAAGGAGAAGCGAGGAGAAGTTGGGATGCCGACGTGGCAATTGGAACAGAGAGAAAAGGGGACACCCTTTGCCTGCCGGCCTTGATTCTGGGTATCACCGATGGAGTCGGCAAGGCGAGAGTTTGTGGCGAGTTGCATCTGCATCGATCCGGAAAAAGGGGTTCCTCTAGTCGTCAAAGGCGGGGAGGAAGCCAATTGATACGTACATGTGGCACAGGTTCTCGGAAGACGAACCGTTCAAATTTCCTGATGTGTGTGATCGCGTGGTAAGCCCCTTGTCCAATTTTTTTGGTTCTATTTATATTCTGTGTTTTTTTCTGTTTTTTGTTTCAATTCCGGCCGTTGCCGGACACTTCCGGCCATCGCCGGCGCTTTTGGCCGCTTCTGGCTATCAGCTCCTTCGGCCTACTCGCCAGCTCGAGCTGGCGCTGGCGTGGCAGTCTATGTGTGGAGAAGGAGCGGACTGACTTGCAGGGAGGCAGTCTGGAACTGGAGTTGGCAGCAGGCCTGTGTGGAGTTGGCAGCCTGTGTGAACCCATGCGTGTAAAACCGCACCCCCCCAACCGCATCCTGCCTTCCTCTCGTCCATGTCGCCTTGCCTCAGTAGGTGAAAACACCAGTTGGTTTGATAACCCCTCTCGGGAGCTCCGCGAAAGCCTTCCTTACATTTTGCGTTTTCAAAATTTGCTGGAGACGAAAAGCGGCCTCCAGAACAGGTCCGGAGTTTGCGAAATTCACAGTCTTTCAACCTTTTTAACCTTGAACGTTTTTGAGAGTTTTACCTCAAGTGGCAACCCAAGCATAAGCTATCAGAAGTTGGCGGGAAGACTGTGGATGTCCCAAACTCCTACGAAAGCCATTTTTTGGAAGTGTTTATCACGGATTTTCGCAGCCTAGTCACGGATGTTCACGTGTTTTTCACGGAAGCGTGTTATTGCAGCGCTTCATCACCTCACCGAATGAACATTGCCAAGGCTGAGGAAGATTTAGTCAGGGTGTGTGCAGGCTGGTGTTCCTGGCAGTTTACACAGGTGCTCCGCGCGCACTCGCGCAAGGCCCTCACCTCTTGAAGGCGCCGTCCAAACCAAGCGCATCCAGCATGTTCGCCTCTAAGTTGACTAACGCAAGTGCTAATGAGGCCTGGACAATGTTCCCTTCACAACGAAGCCAAGCCGCCCAATTTTCAGGCGAGTTTGTTGCATGTTGAGTGCATCTTCCACTCAGGCCTGCGGATGACACACACTATATAGCCTGGCCCCTTCACAACCCTCCCAGCGGAACTCTGGTTGAGACTTGGGAATAAAACCTTCAGACCAAAACGGGCGTAACACGCCCCTAATGTACACCACACACGCTCGTAACACGAAGCCGTTTTTAGCGCATCTTTTTCACGGGGGGAGGTTCCCCTTGCAAGAGGCCTTTTCTGTACCACCTCGACAAGATTATCCAAATTCTGAATATCGACCGTTCTGTTGACAAACTGCTTGAACCAGCAACAGTTTGAGGCGCCCGTGCCAATTTTAGTGGCCCCGTCCTGGGCAGCATCGGAGCCCGGTGGATGTGAAATTTCTGCTGATAGGTGAGGGGGCGGCTTGGCAGACAGAATGTAGAGTGTATCATCTGCAGGCAAATGGAAGACGCGCTAGGGCGTATGAACCCGCCTGAAAATTGGGCGGCTGGCTGCGCGTCGCAGGTGGCTTACTTTCTCAACTGCCAGGAAGAGCAACCTTCCAGCGCACCCTGGCTGCCTTTCTCAAGCTTGGCGATAGTAATTTGGGAAAAGCCGTGAAACGGCTGTGAAATGCCGTGAGAAACAATTTCCAAAACACGGCTTTCGGTTTATGAGCGTGTGATCGTGTAGATTTGCGAAACTCACGGGTAAAGCAAATGTTGACAACGCAACATGCAAAGAAGCATCCTTCGAGCTGCTGGGGGGCTATCGTCCCAACTAACGTTTTCACCTACAATGGCAAGGCGACACGAACGAGAGGAAAGCTCCCGAAGCAGGGTGTTGTTGTTAAGGATTGAAAACGTGCTTGGGGGGATACGGTTGACACGCATGGGCCCCTCTCAGCAAAGTGGGTGGCCAACGCAGCGTGTGGAGTGCGCTCCCAGAAGTGGCCGGTTTTTCTCAAATGTGTTGTTTTTGGACTTGCCTTCTGATTTCCGACCACTGTCAGACACTTCCAGCTGTTTCCGGCGCTGCCGGTTACTTCCAGCCATGTGTGTGTGTGTGCTTGTTTGGCGTGCTCGGGTATGTGTGTACGCATGTGTGTGTGTATGTGTGTGTATGTATGTATGTACGCATGGATGTATGTATGTATGTGTGTGTGTATGTGTGTATGTGCGTGTGTAATCTTTCGGGGCCTCCTAGTCAAAAGCATTTGCGCACACGCCTTAAGGACGCTTGCGCATGATGCGTTGCCGCGACGCGACGAATCATGCCTGACGCGCGCGCGTCACACACACATACACACACACACACCAACATAGCACAGCGCGCACACCCTCATGCCTGCGTGCCTAAATTCAAGCCAACACACATGACACACATGCACACACACTAACAATACACACATGGGCTTAAGCTTCCTCGCGCCTTTACCTACTTTACACGTAGATGTTTCTTCTGGTTCGTGTGTTTAGAAAAGATGAGCTTCACTGTGTGGCGCGCAGGGCCACTCCTGCGCTGCAAGAACAGGAGTGGCAAGACCGGACGCGCTTCCCGAGAAGACCTACACATTCTTGTTGGCGCTGATCGACAGACAGGCTGAAGTTGATAGAGAAGACAGGGCGCTGTGTGTGTGTGAAGGAAAGCCAGCGAAGAACACGCTGAAGCACTGGTGAGGGCGGATAAAATGCCTCAGGGCTCAAGAGTCAGGGCAAGAGTGCTGACAGTGTCACTTGTTGCAAGAGGCCGGTTTGCCCACACTTGCGCATCCGCAAGAATCAGCGTAAGCTGTCGGAGAAGGAGAAGGGAAGGGAAATTCAAGGTTCCAATCCGCTTCTTTAGAGCGCGCTTTGCCCTCAAGAAGGGGAAGCGCGAGAAGGGCGAAGCTTGCAAGTTCACGGCCATCGCCGTCAGGCGGTCGCTTGCGACAGAGAAGAAGGGTTCCAAGAAGCGGCCGGCGACGACGAGAGCAGCTCCTGCGGTTATAGCTCAAGCGCGATGGTTCTGCAGGGGACGCGCGGCTCCTAGAGTCACTCGGGCAAGTCGCGGGCACGATAAAAGCCAAGCGAGCGCCAGAAGCGCAGGGCTTCCGGCGGCGCGCGCGGGCGTCGTCAGGCAGGGCGCCTGTGTCATGGGAAGCCTGCCCATTTGCTTCTGGCGTTCCGGTCAATATTGTTTTGCGAAGCTTCGAGGTGGGGTACTTAGGGCCAGGGGTTCCCACCGCGGTATTTCACCAATATTCATACTGTTTCGCCAGTTGCAGGCTCCGCCTTTTCCATACGCGGTTCCCATTCCAGGTGAGAGCTTGACCCTGCAGAAAAAATGCAGGCCGTCGCATGCTAGGGTTGTTTGCGACTCAACTCTTCAGGGCTGCAGAGAGAGGGAGGCGATGTGAAACTGCTTCAGGATAGCGCGCGGCGAATCTTCATTTCACCTTGCAAAACTCAGCACTCTTAAGTGTTCAGCACAAGCAGCCTCGCGCCAGACTGCCGCAGTTGCAAGATGCCTCATCGTTTGGCTACACGTGGATGCTTCCTTGCCAAGCTACAGTAGGCATTCAGACAGGCTCTTTGCTGTCTCATGACCATGCATAGCGGTGTAGTTGGCCTTGTCTTTTCTTTGGCATCTGTTCGCCGGGAAAGCCAGGCGCTCCGCTTGACACACCAGGGCTGCTCTGAGCGTTTGGGCGAAGACAACACCCGCATACGTCATTGCGCCTTTTGTGTAGACAAACCCAGCGAAAGGCAAAAGCGTTGTGGCCAAGACCTTACCCTTGTGGAAGCAAACTTGATGCCACACCTTCCATGTTGTTTTCGGGGCACGTTGTTTTCGGGGCACAGCTGCCAGGCAGCCTTTGTAAGTCAACTTCCCAACCCGTTGATAAACAGATCGCGCGCGCGATCGTGCGCCTTGTCAAGTCCATGCGCACTTGCAGGACAACCTGGTTGTTGTTCTCGACGCTGAAAAGCCCCGAGGGGACAAAGCCATGCGCAGCTCTCAGGTCGAGCTTCGGCTTGGGGGAAGCAGTTTCCATTGATGTTGCTTTTCTCGGTCTCTTTGGCCCCGCAGCAAATTCATGTCATTGTAGTGACATTGCGAGAAGAGGCAGGAAGACACGGTTCCAGTTCAGAGTCGACGTGAACCATTATGGTGAGATCGAAACTTAAATATGCCCCGACGTCCCAGCTGTCCCCAGCGTTTGACTCAAAGTTGTTCAGGCGTATGCGGCGTGCCCGAAGTAAATCTGATTTGTAGCGAGGGGTTCCACACGGCGCGTTGCCAAACAAATTTGAAAATGTATTCGCGTCCTTGCGCTCACGGGTAGAGAGACAGAGAGGCAAACAGACACATGACAGAGAGATAGACGGACGGGCGACGGGAGACAGAGAGAGAGATAGAGACAGGAGAGAGACAGAGAGAGAGATAGAGAGAGATAGAGAGAGAACGTTTACGCGCACGGGCAAGATCTTTATGGGCATCTAGCGCGAAGCCAAAGCCCGTGAAAAAGGAAAAGTGCAATCCTGAAAGTCTTGACGAGAAAATCAAGCATTGAACCACACGCGAGCGGTTCGATGCCGCAAAAGCATTCGGAATGAATACCCATTGTGCACTCAAACTGTGCAAAAGAATGCAAACATGCGGTATCCAGAGTGATAGAGCACCGCAGCGGCTGCAAATCAAATGGCGCGAAGCTGCAAAAGTATACGTGAGAGAATATCCAATGCACACTCAGGCAACATGCATAGAAATCTGGCCTTTGGTGACCAGAGTGCACGAGCACCCCAGTGACTGCAAAATAAACGGCTCGACGCTGCAGAAAGGTACAAAATGAAGATCCAATGCACACTCAAGCACCACACAGAGAAAAAGGGACATGTGGTGTCCAGAGTGCGTGGGCGCCCCAGACATTGCAAGCATAGGCTGTTCGACGCTGCAGAGAACACATCACGAGTGAAAGCCTCACACGCAGAGAAAGCTGCTATGTGGCAACCAGGGTGCGTGCACACCCTAGCATCCGCAAAGACGAAATATGACGTATCACTGAGAGCATTGTGCAACCTGGAGAATAGGGGGTCCATGCAAATAGAAAAGGTCAACATAAATCTACTCCGTCGTAGCCTGCCAAACGTTGTTCCGTCGACCTCGCAGAGGCTAATTCATCGTTGAAAACTCTCTTCCATGGCTGAGGCAGTTGCATGCAGCAATCTTTTGCATGCGAAGAGTCGGCTCTCGGAGTCCTGTGCATGTAAATGTAACAATTCTTGCAATGCGCGGTAAAGGAATGAAAATCCCAAACATGCATCGACCGGCGTTGCTCGGCTGTGCGTGCCCTCGCCTGGTACTTGCGCACCCACTGCTTGAGTGCATCAAGCTCTGCGTCGGCGGCAGCTGTGCCCCCGGGGCAAGCAGGGGCTGCACAGCTTTTCCTGTAACGCAAAAGAAACAACGGCTGCCTCCATTCACAACGCAAACACCGGACTGGGGAATATTTGAAACCTGCCCAAATAAGGGACCTCCATGTTCTTCAGCAATTTGGTTCACCCGGATTTGTTGCTTCTGGCGCTCCTTCCCCCAGAATGACGCGGCTCGAGCGATTGCTCGAAGGTTCACATTGCCCTCGTTAGCAAAACAGTTGGATTCCCGGAGCTGCCGGACTGCTGTGGCATGCTTGCGCAGCACATTGCGCCCACATCGGCTGCATGAGAGCCGACCGTTGCCTGACTGCACACACTCATCAGGGTGTCGTTGCAACACACCTGGGGCACTGGGTGCAGGCGGGGGCTGCTTGCCCACTCTGCGCCGGCGTTGCTTGGTCTCATTTGGCAGAGGTCCTGGTGGTTGGTTGTGAGGGTCATCATCCCTGGTGCATCTTCATCGGCATCGTCATCACTTTGCGATTGCCGGGCAGCAAGTTCGGTGTTAAGAAAAATTCTTTGCACATCCTCAATGGGCGGGCCATTATAGCCCACGGGAGCAATTGCACACTGAATGACACATTCAGGGAAATCCTGCAAGGAGTCCCGCATTGTGCAGAACCATCTCGGTCGAAGGTGCTCCCACTGCGGGCAGATCCAGAAACGATGCCGTCGTGTTTCCAAAACTTGAGCTAGAGCACGGCTGTAATGCGCAGTATGCGTCAGAAGCTAGATTCCGTTGTCGGTGACGGAACATACGCTCCCTGGTGCGAACGGCTCCAATTACTATCTGCAGCAAGAGTACGCCTTTCTCGTAGTCCGGCAGCACCAGTGACAGCTTGCGATTTTCAGTGTGAAGTATACCAATTTGCACACCTGCAAAGTCTTGCCGGCGAGGCAGGCCATTACGGCGATTGGCGCTGACAAGATCTGCAACCTCCCGATTCCTCAAGGCATCCCTGAGCGCGTGACCAAAAACCAGGCTTTTGGTCTGGTGCGAGCGGAAAAGTGTAGCCTGTCAGATTCGGCAATTGCACGGCAGTTGCGCTCGTCCAGTCCCAATGAATAGACGCAAAGATCTTCCAAAGCCCGGACGCTGGACCGTAGACGGCATCGTAGCCGCTATCCCGCATTTGTTGCCAAATAAATGCAAGATCATTTACAGTGTCAGCATCAAGACGATGCAATCTCGCGAAGCTCATGACGGATGTATAGGCTTGAGCCTGAATCGGGTCGGTTCGATGCCCCTTGGAACGTCATCATCAAGATCTCGGTGGCTGTAGTCCATGGCAGCTTTGTTCCACCTCTCGCCGAGGCCCAGACTTTACGTCTGAGGTCATTTCCCTGTTTAGGGTCCAAGGGTGTAAACTCACCGCCGAAGAGTACTGGGATTGCTGATGTGCCAATTGCTTCAAGTCGATTCTCTTTGCTTCCCGGAAGTCGCGCTACACGCGCAAGGCGTCCGCAAAAAGTGGCGATCCTGTCGCGGCCCATCGGAAGTGACTCCCAGTTGCCGCGCTTGAAGTTCAAGACATCACCTAAGATTTTGGCTTCGGTGATTTTGCTAAGGGCGTGGCCCTGCACGCACAAGTCCACTTGACCTAGGGCATCTCTCTTCTCCGCGTTCATCTTCATCTACAAAGCTATTGACCATAGTTCTGTCAGCCAGTGAGCGCGTCTGATCTCAGAGTGGTTAGCGCCCGCAAGATGAAGATCATCGGCGTATCCGCCAAGACGTACCCTGCCACTGCCTTGAGCGCGCCCGCGCTCAGAAGTCAAGAGATTTCTGGCTTGATCGAACTGGTCGTTGGTCCACTTGGCCTCCCGCTGAACCACCTCTTTGGATCTTTCAAGAAGCGCACCATCGACGCCACGCGATTGGGCGTTGAACCAAGCTAGGGCCGCGATGTTCATCATGATCATGGAGAAAGCACATCCTTGCAAGGCGCCACGTAGCCCGTCGGGAGAGATCGGTTTCCCCAGAAACCCGTTGAATTTGACGGTCCAAATCGGTATACATGTGCGCTCCAAATTGATAAGTAATGCTCCCGCCAGCCTTCGGGACCAATGTGATGTCTCCAACAAGCGATAAAGGCACGATGCCCGCCGCTTCCATGCAGTTGTAGATGCTGGCCAGCTGATCGTATAAAGGCGATGCGTTCTTCAGCTCTTGGGCCGACCAACCATCGGCGCCTCCGACGCCTTTTGCCCGCTTAATGGCAGCGGACACGTCCCCAGTCGTGATGGGCTCCAGTGCAATTTCAACGCCAGGTTCGACTGCATCCAAGAAGAGATCTTCAACGGATGTCCTGTCCCAAGCTGGCTTTGTCCAGATTGATGTCCAATACTCTCTGATCCGGTTGTCGATTTTCTCAATGTTGGCTGTGATGTCCGTCTCTTCGTGGGGCGCTGAGACATCTACAAAAGACTGCGGTGGGAGACTTTTGTTTGCAACATACTGGTACTTACGGTATGACCGAAGACGTTCATCACGCTTCCGCTTGGCTTCTTTCTGAAAAAGGTATTGCCAGTGTTTGAGCAAGGCCTGGAGGGTCTCAAAAATTCTCATGCAGTGTTGTTGCATCAGGTAGGGCTTCTTGGCTCATGTCAACTGGCGGTCTCCATTGTGCGTCAAGAAAAAATCGTAAAAGCTTACACTTCAAGGTCCTCATCTTTTGCGGCCCGTAAAAATGCATGTGTTCTAAAGCTCGCAGACCTCTCAAACAGTCATGCGCCCTTCGTATCTGAAAATTGCGGTCCATAGACTGGTGGGCTTTTGCAGTGGCTCGAGTCTTAGGTTGAAGCAGGGCTGTCGGCCTAAGTGGCTGCACCCGGCCTCGCTTGTGCGAACAAGAGGACCGTTCTCCACCGGCTCAAGCAGTGATGAGTCGTTCGGCCCTTGCGGACCAAATGTCAATCGTTGCATCTAGCGCAGAGCGCCGCTCATCGCTTGTGGATCTGGGGTCCACCAAAAGGCTCTGAGCGGAAACCCATCTGTCATTGTACACCTGGCGAATTTCGTCAAGCTGCTCTTGGCTCACGGGCCCACGAGCTCGGGCCGGGCTAGGCCACAGGCGCAGCCAACCGGCCCAACTCACCAAGCAAACCGACAAGCGAGTAAGCGAGCGCACAAACGGCGTGGCAATCGAACGAGCGTGCGGGCAACACACACGAACGCGCGAGCGTGCAACGCAACCGGCGGCCACCCGAACAGCCCGCGCAGGCAGGCGGAAACATGCGTGAAGTCACTGTCGGACACTCCCGGCTGGCCTGAAAGTCGATCGCGACAGGGGTCCTCCCGCGCACGTCGTGGAAGGAAACCAGTGCATTAGGCTGGGTGTCGCCTTTGCAAAAGGCAAGCCCAAAGCCATGACCCATGAGCGGATGGCGAACAAGCTTGCTCAAGACGCGCAAGGGCAGGCCTGCAAGTTGACCGTTTCGCAAGACGACCAACTGAGCGCACGGGCGTGCGCGGACTTGCTCTTTGCCCACAACGGCCTCGCTGCTTGCACTCAAGGCGCAGGCTGCGAGTCCGCATCTTCACTTTGTCGCACGACACATGTATATGCCAGG